GGGGAGGGGCTGACATCTGTGCCATTTGCCCAATGGATATAAGTGAGAAGAACTTTTGGGAGTTCTTGCCAAGCTCGGCACCCACTGGGAAGTAAGGACCTCATGAACTACAAAATAGTCTAAGTGTAAAGGACTATTCAGTACAATTCTGAAACATTTTTTTTAGTACCATGTACTGCATTTACATCATTTCTACCTGTCTCCCTCTCCAACTTCACCCCTGTCACCTACACACCCTCTCAAACTTTATGATTTCTTATATATACATATATCTATATGTTTGATTACACACACACACACACACACACACACAACGACCTGTTGTGCCTACTTAGTGTTGCTCTTATGTGTTTAGGGTTGACCACAGTTTGGGACTGGATAATAACCTATCAGGGAGCGTGACATCAGAGAATAGATTGTCCCTTCATCTAGGGCGGGGCCTTGAGACTTCCACATCCATGTTGGGTGTGAACTGATGTTGTCGTTGGGCTGCTCTTGTGTAAGTGACCATATTGTTAAGATTTTGTGGAGGCGACTTCCTGTCATACACAGAAGACAGTATCTCATAGCAATCCACTTTTAACAGAACCCGATGAACAATGTAGTGGGAAGAACAGGAACTGAGAAAAGAAATATGAAATTGCTATCAGCGTCAAACACTGGGAAACAAGCAGAATGGATTGTGACTAACCCTAAAGCACATTTCTGGTTTCCTCATGATTTTCAACACTCCACTGACTCCTGCATCTGATACTGACTACACTTAGGGTGTTTAATAGTCTACACCTGGGACAGTGCTTGATGGAAGTGTTGCGTTTTTCTATTGATGTGTAGGTTTGCGATCCTAGAGATGGACAGGCTGCTTGTGCTTTTTGGAATCCACCTGAGCTTTTTGCGGTTCTTATTTTACCCAAAACACCCTCTGATTACCGGAGAACTTTTCTTAAGTAACACTGGCTTTAAGAATTTGGAACCACTTACTCTAGAATGGTCAATAAATACAGATGTGGGACTGGAGAGATGGCTCAGCGGTTGAGAGCACTGGCTGCTCTTCCAGAGGTCCCAAGTTCAATTCTCAGCAACCACAACCACAACCATCTGTAATGAGATCTGGTGCCCTCCTCTGGCGTGCGGGCATACATGGAGGCAGAATGTTGTATACATAATAAATAAATAAATCTTTAAAAAAAAATAAAATAAAATACAGATGTAATTACTAAAACACAACTGTCCAAATTTGTATCCTACTGTTCCCAAAAGTTCTGTCTTGCTTAAGTTGAGGTTCTAGTCCTGTCTTTACCACTAAGAGCTGTGTGACCTTTGGCAAGCCAGTTCATCATAGGAGGGCACAAATAATATGCATGAAAGCATTCTGTAAATTGTATTTGAAATAGTAATTATTTGGTCTGTAAATTTCCCCAGAGTCTAAAATTTTTATTCATTTTCAAAGTAATTACAGTGAATTCATCTGATAAGAGCCAGCAATTATATTTTGGCACATATGAACTACATCACTCACAAAGCTGTCAATTTAAAGAATATGAAATGATTGGTGAGTTTAAATAACAGCCCCCAAATAAAGTCAAGCCTTCAGTAATTTAGGGTGAAAGTTTCCGCAGAATGATACAGGAGTTTAAAAAAATGGATTGAGTCACATTTAAAAAAACAGTTTCCACACTAAAAACAAACACGACCAACCTCTCAGTGGTGGCACATGCCTTTAATCCCAGCACTTGGGAGGCAGAATAAGGTGGGTCTCTGAGTTTGAGGCCAGCCGGGTCTATAGAGTTCCAGGAAAAGCTGGGGCTACAAGAGAAACCTTGTCTCGTAAAACCAAACCAAAACAAAACCCCACCAAATTTGCCCTTCCTGTCTTATAAATGAAAATTATTAGATACAATAGAAATCCCAGCTGCAAAGGTTGTGGCCACCCATTCATTTTACAATATTTAGTACCCAGTCAGTCCTGGAATAGTGGCTACAATATTCTAGAAACAAATAACACATGATAAATTACATCTATAAGCTTTATTTTACACGTGTCTGTGTAAAAATCATAGAGCCTCAGAAGCATTTCTAAAAGTTATTTAGACTAACAGGTCCAGAAATAATTTTTTTTTAGGTGGGGGATAGGCTTATAACAATTCCTTTTTGAAAAAAGTTAGGTATATATGTTGACTTTAAAAAAAAAACCAAAACTTTTCCAAATAAAGATTTAAAAAACAAAAATCAAAAAATGGTGTCATTGGGGCCATTTCTAAAGATTTACTTTGACTTTATGTATATGGGTATTTTGACTGCATGTGTATCTGTGCACCCTGTGAATATCTGCATGTACACCTGTGCACCCTGGCGGATGCAGCACCCAGAGACCTGAAGATATCTGATTCTCTGGAACCGGAGTTATGGATGGTTGTGAGTCACCATATGGATGCTGGGTGCCACACCTGGGGTCTGCTAAAACAGCTGCAAGAGCTTGACCCACCTCTCCAACCCCCATTTTTTTATAAAGCATCATTTTTATAAGCATCATTTTATAAAAATGTTTTCCAATGACACAAATGTAGGAAGAATTTGTGTGTGTGTGTGTGTGTGTGTGTGTGTGTGGTTTTTCAAGACAGGGTTTCTTTGTAGCTTGTTCTGGAACTAGCTCTTGTAGACCATGCTGGCCTTGAACTCAGAGATCCGCCTGCCCCCGCCTCCACTGCCCGGCAGGAAGAATTTCAATAAAGTACAATGTGAAATTAGATTAGGAAATGGATGACTGCACTTCTGTAAGTTTACACAACGCTTTGCTAGACTTGCACCTATCCACACACATACCTTAAAAAAAAAAATCACTAACTTGGGCCACTTTGTCCTCTCCCTATTACACCAACTGAGCATCTATATACCTCCACCAAGACTCCTTTTTTCTCAACTTCCATGGAAGCTTTGGCCAACCCTGGTTTTCTTATACTTCAGAACTCCTTGTTAAATCCTAGATGGATTCTTTTTCTCAGTACTGTACCAGCTTTCAACGT